GTTCTTCCCTGTTCCTCGATGAATATTACTCGTGAGAATGCGCACATCTTCACGCTGGCAAAAGGGATATTTCTGGTATCGTCCCTGGTGAAAACCGGACATGGCTATCGAGAAAGAATACGAACTGGGTCAATGACCCAACCGCCGAAGAACCGCGACTGTTCAACGGTGGCCACAGGTCTGTGTCGGGTATAAGTTGCTGTGAAAAATGAGATTCGTTTAAACGCTAAAAGTAACGATCTTTGGTCTAAAAAAGAGGGGGAGGGAAAAAAAAAAAAAAAAAAAAAAAAGAAAAGGAAAAAAGAAAACTCGTTATCCGTCCCGTAGCTCGTTTTACATTCGTTTCTCGTAACGTGCTTTCATATTTGTCACGTTTACGTCCTTGCGCCTTTGCTCGAAAGGAAAATTGCGCTCTATCCTTCGAACGGGGAAAAATAATCGAGCATCGCGATCGAAAATTGCTCCGCATTTATCCGCAATTTATCCTAAGGAGAGGAAACAACGGAGAGATATACGATAGTAAAAGAGAATCGAAGATCGAAAGAACGAAGGAAGAAAGAAAAGAAGCGAAAAGAGCGAAAATAGATAAATTAAAAAAAAAAAAAGAAAAGAAAAAGAGGAATTGTCTTCGCCGTTCGAAAGTGCAAAGTTTAATTTCCCTCTGTTACGTAACGATGATTTTTTTAATTCATCCCCTTTCCTTCTAAATATATATATAATATATATATATACATATATCTCGCGTTCACGAGAATTTTCTCGATCTTTTTTTCTTTTTTTATTCCTCGAATAATCGAAAAAAGTAGGTAGTACGTACTACGTAGGCAGGCGAAAAGTGGAGAGAAGAGAAAAGGAGAGGCGACAAAGCAAACACCGAAAGAATAACTGACCCAAAGCGGATCCTTGGCGAGCGAGTAAAACGGAGAGGCACCGTTCGGTTTGGTGATAGTAGATCCCCCACCACAGGGTGACGGTTTCGAATCCCTGCAGGGGGCCCGAATGCCCCCCG